GTGTTCCAAAACAATTTCTGATTGCGTCGAAGCTATAATCGGTGCATATTATGTAGAAGGTGGCTTAAGAGCAGCTATGGCTGTTCTCAAATGGTTGGGAATTAATGTTGAAGTTGAGGAAGAATTGATTGGTCAGTTCTTGAGTGCATCTGTGCAGACTTATCTTCCAAAAAATGATGTAATTGAAAAGGTTGAAGCAAAACTAGGCTATGTATTTTTGATGAAAGGTCTTCTGCTAGAAGCTCTTACCCACCCATCACTGCAGGAATCAGCAGAAGGATATTCCTACGAGGTAATGGCTGATGTTAGCATTAAATTTAATTTAGCTGGCTATTCATGTTGGGTGTTTTCAAATCTTTATTATTCAATTTTCTTACTGGAAAACACTGAATGCGTCTATTTGTTCCAGCGTCTGGAGTTCCTTGGTGATGCTGTCTTGGATATTCTTTTAACACGACATCTTTTCTCTAGTCATAAAGACACCGATGAGGGGGAGCTGACAGATTTACGGTCTGCATCAGTAAACAATGAAAATTTTGCACAACTCGCAGTGAAGCATAAGTTATATCAGTTTCTCCAGCATTCTTCTGGGAAATTACCAGAAAATATTACTGAATATGTGGATAGTTTAGAGAATTCTTCCACGGACAAACTCAACCTTTTATCAGATGCGGCATTAAGAGGGCCTAAGGTATGTTTCTCTTCCTTTGCCTTCGATGTGTATGATTTACTCAAGATGGCTAAATAGATTATTAGTCACATTTTTTATTTATGGGTATTACTGTTGTTAATTTTTTTATTCACCTTCTGTTTCATTTTCCAGAATCGTCGTGTACTAGTGTAGTTGACCACCTATCTATATTAATATCATAGTTTTCTTTCTTTTGCCCTGCAGGTTCTGGGTGATGTTGTAGAAAGTATTGCGGGTGCAATTCTTATAGATAGAAAACTTGATTTGGAGGTAGTTTGGGGTATTTTCAAACCTCTTCTTTCCCCTATTGTTACACCTGAGAAGCTGGAGTTACCTCCCTTCAGAGAGCTTCTCGAATGGTGCAACAAAAGTGGGTACTTTCTAGGAATTAAGTGTACAGATGGAATTAAGCGTACAGATGGAGACAAAATAGAGGCTACTCTGGATGTGCAACTCAAGGAGACGCTCCTTGTCAGGCAAGGTTGTGGCAAGAGCAAAAAGGATGCTAAAGCACATGCAGCTTCCATGTTACTCAAGGACCTTGAGGTACCCGTTTTCTGTTTTGTGCTTTCACTATTTTGACATCGTTTTGTTTTCAAGGTCCAGCAGTTCAACCCATCAATGTTCGATTTTCTTCTGCAGGAGGAAGGACTTATAGTACCAAAGAATGCAAGCAACACGCAACAGTTCCAGGATCATCGTAACATTTTTGATGCAATGGATATACAACTTTCAACACCAACCAGGGGAAAGCGATCAGCTGGATCAAAGATAGCTGCCAGTCTTGATAAACCAGGTATGTTTTGTTTGTCATCCCAAGCACGAGTTCTTGTCAACTCAGTGGAACTGTGTATAATGTCTCACTTACGCAGTGGACTGGCCGGTGAGAATGAGCAAAGGAGGACCCCGTGCAGGACTGTATGAGTTCTGCAAAAAGTTACAATGGCCAGCTCCCAATTTCGATTGTGCGAAGGTAGAACAAAGGTACTTTTGCCTCAAACCTGTCTCTCCCTGTGATTACTGATGAGTGTCCTTCTAGGTAGCTTGTGTAAACTGACCAGCTAAATCTACCCATTTTCCGTGATAGCACGCCTACGCCTCAAGGTCAAGGGTTCACCTTCGCGTCAACCATAAAACTGCACATACCGAATAGTGATGTGATCAGCCTCACAGGGGATTGCTTTGCGGATAAGAAGAGCGCGATGGATTCCGCCGCACTGCTCATGCTCTATGAGCTTCAGCAGCGAGGGAGATTGCAAGTCCAGGAGATTCGTCTTCCCTGAGAGCCCCGTGTGGTGCTAGTAAATATTACTAGTAGTATTCCCTATTGACCGGGCAGGTTTTGAAGGTATGTGTGGCATCTTCCGAATAAATGGATGCTGAGGATACTTGTGAGAGGCAGAACACAGCTAAGCTGACCTGGCTCTGCTGCCAGTCGTTATGTATGTTGTACTTTGTTAAAAAGAAATGTATGTTGTGCTTGGCTTCATATTGGCTGAGGCAGGAAATGATGAGCCGAAGTGCTGCAAGTCCACTGTCTATCAGTACTTCACAGGCTCGGTCATTATATCCTGGATGATCCTTTTCTCTCTTCCTGCAGATTTAGGAGCCTGACGTTTCGCACGTATTTTCTCCTCCTTTTGCCAATAAAAACTTGGTGCAATAAGAAACATCTCAATGCAACAGAAAATTGATACTACTGTATTAGGCAACGTACTGTTTTAACTACTGTAACACCGTACAAATACCATATGCACCAAAAGTGTGAAACCAATGCAAGACATATGCAGCAAGATCAACTTGAAAAGTGTTGTAGCATCAAAGAACTCGGTTTTAGTTTGCCACATTAAACAAAATTCATTTTAAATCAACAAATCCGTACATCACATCCTCGGTTTGACAGCTCCATTATGCCGGCGTTGATTTTGGCTGCTAAAGCTTTGTTGGTTGCGTGGAAGGCCACAAAACATTTTCATCATGTTCCTTCCATGAGCGAATCCCACGTAAGGGTTTCCCGCACTGTGGATCCCATCCCTTGCCGGCGGGAGGGCTCCTGCTTCGTCTTTAGGCGTTTCTTTAGGTTTGTTTAGGGTTTGTGTGCTCAGAAAGATGAGACAACGACGTCTCTCTGAAGATGAAATGAAGTTCTCCCTGCTTAGTCCTCATTCGGGTGGTGCATCTAGCTTTATCGAAGGGTGTGTGAACGCGTGTCTCTGGCAGAACTCGAGGGATTTGGTCAGTGCTTGTCTTTGGTGGATCGTCTTGGATTCGGTTATGGTTCGTCTATGTTTGTGCTTCTACAGATTGGATCCTTCTGATCTACGCTTCTTTTCATCGGCGACAGTTGTTGTTATGTTGTGCTGGTCCTTTGGGATTTTAGCACGACGACTTCCTGACTTCTACTACATCAAGGTTTGCCTGGCTACGGTGAGGCAAGGCCGATGGCGGCGGCGTGCCTTCAGCTCTCTCTAGTGCTTGTAGTCGTCGCTAGGTGGTCTACAGACATGGATGTCATTTTTATTGCTTCTTGTACTATCGTGTAGCGCATCAACTCAGTCCAGTCAACCAAGCGTTGTGGAAGAATTGCTTCCCTAATGCAGACAATCTATTTGCGAACTACCAAATTGTGTGCACAAAATGGTTTTTATGGCGACTACTAGGCGCCGGTCATCCGACTGGCCCTGCCCGTTGTATTCGCTCTTTCCTAACCGTCAAATCAAAGTGGATTGAAGTGACGCGTAAACGTTTGACGTCTTCTTCCACCTCCATCGCGCCGCGCTTGTTGAATCCAGTAAAAAATCACCGCGCCCCGAGCTGGTCGTCCATGATAGCAGCGCCTCAAGTAGTCGTGGTTGCCCCGCCGCGACGCCGTCTTGAACCCCTTTGCAGTGTGCCGATGGCTGGAACATCACCGGTTGCCAGTACTCGTCTCTGCTGGTTCCAGCATTTGGTGGGTGTCGATGCAACATCTGGTGACAACGGTTCCAGCTTGTTGTGAGCATGGATGTAGCATCCGGTGACCACGGTTCCAGCTCGTGGTGACCATGAATGTAGCATCCAGTGACCACGGTTCCATCACATGGCAATCATGGATGTTGCATCAGAGAGTCGTCATGGTAGCATTCCGGAACCACAGTTCCTACAATCCGTTTTGCTGGTTCTAGACAATAACTTTGTTGTTTCCCGCAATCCGCCTTGTCGGTTCCAAAAAAATAAACCCTCGCCAGATCTAGCACCTCTCACGGCGCCGTCCCCATGCAGGTGAGAACATCGACGTGGACTGATGTAGCATTTGTCCTCGCCGAACACAATAGTCGACAACCATGGTTGTAGTAGTAGGATGGCAGTGGGTGTCGCCGCCATTCACGCTCCAGTTCGTAGCAGCTCGACATGTCATCCCAGCATTGTTGTGTGCTGGTTGAAGCACGGGCGCGTGCTGGTTGTAGCACCTCGCTGCGCCAATTCTAGCTCTATAAGACGTGGTAGCAGCATCTTGTTCTTGTGCACTGGGATTGTGGTTTGCAACACCGGACACCCTGTTTTGTCCATGTAGCTGCGCGTGGCGGTGTGTGCTGGCTTTGTGGCAACCTACGACAGCCGGGGGAGGTCCGAAGAGATGCATAGAGAAGGGGGAGGGGCGCGAGCTTTGACTCTTTCATGACGGTCGCAGCGAAAGTGAAAACAGGGGGATGGACGAGCGGAAGAGAGGCGTGGTGAAGAGACAAGGATGTGAGTCAAGCGGTGAGAGTAATGGGGACGTGGCGCAAAACAAGGGCGCTGGATCCAGGTGGATCGAGCGGCGCGCACACACCCGGCCCAAACACTCGGCCCGCAACAAAGAAACATAATTTGTCCAAATGCATTTTTTTTACTCCATTTCATAATTTGTCCTAAAATTTATGTATATACATTTTTCATGGGACGGAGGAGGTAACACCCTTATTTACTTGCATTTTGCAAAAAGTTTGAATTTTGCAAAAAAAAAAAGACGCCTCCATGTAGGCCGAGAGCGAAACGTCCGTTCTCGGTTGGTCGCGGCCATTCGGGGCGGTGCTCCACGCTCCCTTGCCGTTAGGCACGCAGTCCACTTCACTCACCTCCCCAGCCAACTAACCGGATCAATTGTTTTTCTTCTCGGGAAGCACCAACCCCAGATCTGAGTCTGTGTTAGCCAGCTCGCACTCACCAGCTCCACGCCGACGCCGGCGTCACCGACACGAAGCCGCGACCTTTTAACTTGACACGGAACCCGCTCCACACCTCACTTTCCCCAGCAGAGCAAGCAACCACCTCGGAGAGGCAGAGCGCAATGGCAATGGCGTCCATCCTCGTGCAGGTGTCCGCCCTGCTCCTCAACCTCATCGCCTTCGGCCTCGCCGTCGCCGCCGAGCAGCGCCGCAGCAAGGCCACGGTGACGCCGGATCTGGCCAAGGAGTACGACTACTGCGTCTACGACTCGGACGTCGCCACCGGCTACGGCGTCGGCGCGCTGCTCCTCCTCGTCGCCGCGCAGGCCGTCGTCATGCTCGCCAGCCGCTGCTTCTGCTGCGGCCGCGGGCTCAAGCCGGGGGGCTCGCGCGCCTGCGCCCTCATGCTCTTCCTCTTCTCATGGTAAACTGTTTATTTTACACAGTGTGTTTAAGTTAAGCTTCCTTTCCTCTCGTTTGTCTTCTGACATTTGTGGTCGTCAGTTCAGTTTTCCGCCTTTACAGCAATTTGAAATTGATTAGATCTAGCCCTGTGGTCTGAATTTACCGATGGCGCTTGAGCCAAAGTTTAGACCTCACTTCAGATCTAAGGTGAGGTTGAGATTGGGGTTCAGATCTGTGTGTGTGTGTGTGTGTCGATTCTGCTGCTGGTTTGTTTCGTGTTGGGTTGGCTATTGATTTCAAGCCAAGAATTACTTTAATACTTTACTAGAGTCGTACTGCCTTCTGAAGTGGGTGCCCCCTCACGGCCTAATTTGGTCAGCCTGGAATGATGCCAAGATCAAAATTTACCATGCTCGGTAGTATTTGCCAAGGCTGAACAGTTGAGGGTTCTCTGTTTGTGCTAAATTTAGTAGTTGTTGACAGTTCTGTTATGGAGATGCAGAATTGTGCAGGTACCTTAGATCTGTTATAAGTTGGGTATAGAATCTCTTGACTGAACCAAATTTTGGCACAGAACTAGTACTGTATTATAGTAGGAGTAGTTGCTCTTATTGAACTGGTACTGTTGCTCCTTTTTCTACGCACTCCGCAGCCTTGAGCTCCTCCTCTTCTTCTATGTTTCCTCCATAATCTCCATCCCCTCCTTGAATTGATCCCACCGCTGGGAGCCTGTCTCCAGCTTCACCTCCATCACCCGCTTCCCTGCAGGTAGTAGAAAAGCTCCTCATTTGTGTAGCAGTTCTCTTTTTCTTTCCTCTAATGCTAATGAGACCTTCTGTAGTAGTATCCTCTTATTTGTTATTTCATACCTGTGTAGCTGTGCTAACCACTACCAACAGCTGTACCGTTACAGTAAATTAGTGACAACATGTTTATATGCTCATCTCTTTTGGCCAGAGGTGAGAGCACATGCTTCAGTTAAGTTTTTCAATGAACTGTCGAACCACTTCAGTTTTTTTTAGCACTGTGTGGCTCAATTATTTATCTGATCTTCCTTGAAATCATGTATTGGGCTTCGCTTCCTTGGTGTCCTCCTGAGCTAGCCCAGCCTTGAACTAATTTAGACATGCCATTGCCTGACCATTCTCACCAGTTTGGAACCGGTTTCACGTCTTGGACTGTTTCTGACTGCTCCTTCTTGTGTCCCTCGATACATATACTGAAACTTGAACTTGATGCTCTTTCACCTTATTGCTGTTGTGTGTCACGACCAAATGTTTTTCAGTACCTAGAGGTTTCGTTTAGGTTCTCTGACTCAAGTCAGGTGGCTTAGAAGTCAGGATCTGCGCCCAACTTGTAGTAATGTGGAAAAAGTAGATAATGACGTAATGTATCAACCAAGTCATTCCACTTGCAGTTCCCAGAGAAATTTTCATATGATTGCTTCCCATTTGCAGGTTGACCTTCCTCGTCGCAGCGGCGTGTTTGCTGGCAGGATCAGTCCGTAATGCATACCACACCCGGTACAGGGGGATCTTCAACGGCGACCCGCTCTCTTGCGAGACGCTGCGCAAGGGCGTCTTCGCTGCTGGTGCAGCCTTCACCTTCTTCACCGCCATCCTCAGCGAGTTCTACTACATCAGCTACTCCAAATCCCGGGATGCCGCCGGCGGCGCTCCATACGGCGGCTCCAGCATCGGCATGGGCCCTTACACTTAAGGAGCTTGTGTGCTGGAGGTTTATGGAAAGGTTCAGTCCGTTTCACTTTCAGGGCGGATCATGCATATGTAGTTCGTGGAGTGCGGTGTTCTTGTTTTTTTTATAAAGGTGTTCTTGTTAACATTAGAGTGGTAGATACGGTGGAAATGAGTTCGCTGTCTTCACTGGTTATGTATGAGATTGCCTGGTGTGCATCCGGACATTTCGTTGTTGCAGATGTTGGGTGTAATTGGTATCTCCAAATGATATTAATATATTTCATTTGTTCAAAAATGTAATATACTCCCTTCGTTTTGAAGTATAAAGTACAGATATAAGTTCTCTCCAAAGTCAAACATGTGCATGTTTGACTAAGTTTTTAGAAAAAACGTATCAATATTTACAACACCAAATTTGTATAATTAGATTCATCTAGAAAAGTATTTTCATATTTTATTTGTTTTGTATTGTCGGTATCGACATTCCATTCTATAATCTTGGTCAAACATACATAATATTAACTTGCGTGGAAACTGATGCGTCTTATAGTCTGGAAGAGAGGGAGTATATACTAATTTTTTGCAATAATACTATACACACAGACTAATTCAAACGTTTTACTTAATTTTCCAAAATCATATCCCCCTCCCTGATTTTCAGGGGGGTGGGCCCCTTCCCACCCGTTTAATTCAATCTCAAACCTCCACGTTGGTAGCTCCGTGAAACACGGAAAAAACCACCCCATGAGTCTAGCATTGCTCTTTTTTTTACTGCTACGAGTATGTACTCTCATGTTCAAATATACCACATACACAAAAGTATTAGAACTCTATCATCCTCACTATACCTTATTACTTATTTTAATATTGCTTAATACAAGTTTCACACAAAAAATATAGTCGGAGCCCTTAGTTTATGCAATACTATATAACTATTACATGCAAAAATACAGTTTATGTGTAAATAATATATAATGTGGGGTCTCAATGTAATTTTTCACGGAACTAGCAATCATTATGAAGTATATTAAAAATGATGAAGAGGTACAAAAAATCCATCTATGTGGTACATGATGAGCGGGAGTATGTTATTTATCCATTTAATTGCCAAAGCATTTTCAAGATACAAAAAATTATTTTATTATCACTATATTCAAGATAATAATAATTTAATATTTGCATATATGTGTCCATCTATTTTGTTTTAAATTTTATGCTACCGTTGAATGGTAAATAATTGGTTAGTTTGCACGGTAAGTATTCTATATTGCACATTCTTCAACAAGACCCCTATTGTACAAATTGTAACGACATCTCCGACTGCTTATCTATATTTGTAACACCCTCGATGCGACTATAGCTCCCACGTGTCGAGGCACGACTTAGAGACATAATCGCATTGAAGGCATATGTCGCAAGTTAGGCAATCTTCACAACATCCCATGTAAGATATATATAATAAAAGGGGAGATAACATAGTTGGCTTACACTCGCCACGTCAATCAAGTACATAAATAACATTACATCATCCAAACACTCATGGCCCGACTACGGCGTCAAAATAAAAGATAACCCAACATGCGACACGGTCCCGACCACCCCAACAGGGCACCACTACTGATCATCAGGAAAGGAAACATAGTATCGTTGAGAGTCCTCATCGAACTCCCACTTGAGCTCAAGCGCGTCACCTGGAGCGGAATCATCAGGCCCTGCATCTGGTGTAATAGTAATCTGTGAGCCACAGGGACTCAGCAACCTCGCACCCTCGCGATCAAGACTATTTAAGCTTATAGGTAAGGCAAGGTAAATATGTGGAGCTGCAGCAAGCGACTAGCAAATATGGTGGCTATCCTATTCGCAAAAGAGAGCGAGAAGAGGAGGCAAAGTGCGAGCGAGAAACTAGAAAGCAACCTGCGCAAGCATTACTCCAACACCGTGTCCACTTCCCGGACTCCGCCGAGAAGAGGCCATCACGGTAACACACTCAGTTGATTCATTTTAGTTAAGTTAAGGTTCAAGTTATCTACAACCGGACATTAACAAATTCTCATCTTCCCATAACCGCGGGCATGGCTTTCGAAAGTTCAAATCCCTGCAGGGGAGTCCCAACTTAGCCCATGACAAGCTCTCACGGTCAACGAAGGAATAGACCTCCTCCCGAGACGTTCCGATCAGACTCGGTATCTCGGTTCTTCAAGACACTTCGACAGGTTAAAACAAGACCAGTAACACCGCCCGAATGTGCCGACAAATCCCGATAGGAGCTGCACATATCTCGTTCTCAGGGCACACCGGATGAGCAAGACGTCGGGTAGGCCAGCCCAGAGTTGCCCCTGGTAGCCCCGGACATCGCTCGGTTGGACCAACACTCAGAGGAGCACTGGCCCGGGGGGGCTAAAATAAGATGACCCTCGGGCTCTGGAAACCCAAGGGAAAAAGAGGCTAGGTGGAAAATGGTAAAACCAAGGTTGGACATTGCTGGAAAAGCTTTAATCAAGGCGAACTATCAAGGGGTTCCTATTATAACCCAACCGCGTAAGGAACGCAAAATCCGGGAACATAACACCGATATGACGGAAACTAGGGTGGCAAGAGTGGAACAAAACACTAGGCGAGGGGCCGAGCCTTCCACCCCTTACCAAGTATATAGATGCATTAAGATAACAAGATAAAATAATGATATCCCAACAAGTAAATAAATGTTCCAACAAGGAACGGTCTCCAATCTTCACCTGCAACTAGCAACGCTATAAGAGGGGCTGAGCAAAGCGATAACATAGCCAATCAACGGTTTGCTAGGACATGGTGGGTTAGAGGTTTGGCATGGCAATTTGGGAGGCTTGAAAGCAAGTGGTAGGCATCGTAGCATTGGCATAGCAAAAGAGCGAGCATCTAGCAAAGCAAATATAGTAGTGATTTCGAGGGTATGATCATCTTGCCTGCAAAGTGGTCAGAGTTGACTGGATCCTCGAAAGCAAACTCAACGGGCTCCTCGTTAGCGAACTCGTCTTCCGGCTCTACCCAAACAAGACAAACAAGCAACAAGGACACAATCAACCACGCGCAAGGATCAAACAAAATGATGCAAGGATGGTATGCTATTCGGGATGTGATGCGGGATGCATATGCAAGATTTGTCAAGGGATGCATGAACCTGGCCTCAACTTGGGTATCCGAGTGTGCCACTGGAAAGATGATATGAAATCGCTTGAAAACGATATAAAGAACGCCGAAATCGGAGTTACGGTTTGGAAATGGCAAGCAATTAAAATATGACACTGGTCTGCGATTTACAGCAAGTAGCCATCTAAATGCAACAAGATGAACATGCTACAGCACCCAAACATGGCATCAAAATACACGGCAGGGATGCATTCATGATGCTTAACAAAAGTCTAGCACTGAGCTATGACCAATTCATCCATTAACAGGTTCAAACAAGCATGGCAAAAATGCATATGGCAAACAGATTTCAGACTTAATGAAATTAACACTTGTCTGGAATTTCAGATCAGGTAGCACACTTCGGAGCAACAAAACTACATGCTACAGGACCTGAACATGGCAAAGTAAAGCATGGCATGGAGCTACTCAAAGAGCTTAACAAAAGTCGCTTAGTGACCTTGAGCCAAAAGGGATCAGAAAATACAATTGCAAGTATGTGAACATGGCAAAAACATAATCAGTTCTCAGACTTAATGAAAACTGGAGCATGCTGAAAACAGATATCAAGTAGGCATATTTACGAGCTCGATGCTCTCACTACGGAGCAAGTCATTACAATATAAGCATACACCCATCAAGAATACACAAAATGCAAGCTAGACATGGCAAGAACAATAGCATAGCATGCACGGATCAACTACAACATCATCGTCAAAATCGCTAACAAGTAGACAATCTGCCCAGATTCACGAAGTAGCAAAAGTAGAGCTCGATTGAATCAAACTAGGGTGCTTCATAATTGCAAACAAAGACATGAATGGATAGAGCACTACAAGATTAACAAAACATCCTTACTGATCATCCTCAAAAGAGGCACGGATCACTAGGAAACAACATGAACATATCGCCATATGAGAAAAACAGATCAAGGACTTAGTGGAATTGCTAAGTCCCTGAAATCAGCATTACCAAGTGCCTCACTTTGCAAGCTTGTGCTAGTCACCACACACATCACAAAAATACATGGGTTGCACCTCTAGAAAGATGGCAAAACCCTTAACAAAACATATGTAGAGCTCATGGGCATATCATGCACACAATAATCATGGCAAAAATGACAAATATCTAAATGGAGTAGCAGATCTGACAATTATCTCAAGTAGCACTCTTCTATCAGCATTTCAGGCATCAATATGAACTCAAATGAAAATGATGTAATGGAATGAAATGATGTACTCTCTGAGATGAACATTTTGATATGCTATATGCCCAAAACGGAGCTACGGATGCAAAGTTACGATGCGATGAATAATGCAAAATATTACTGAAATGGGGCAAAAAGTCAACCGAGGATTAGGGTTCCGGATCTGGATCCAGATCGGGTACTGTAGCAGCACGGAGATCGAAGTTCGCCGGAAATGGGGGGGTCGTCGGAGTCGGGCCAGATCTTCGCCGGAGAGGGGCGCGGGCGCCGGATCCGGGCATGGGGACGCCGGATCTGGCCGGCAGCGGGGCGGCGCCGGTG